AGGGGGGGGGGGTTAAAGGGAAACATGCGCTTAATTACATAAAATTATGTATTTGTCGATGCTTTACACCTCCTCCGACACAGTTTGGGTAGTTTAGATGTTTGACTGAACTTCAACCCTGTCCATGATCGAGGGCAAACCCGAGCTGAGACGGACACAAAGTTCCGCAGGACACCCGATAACATTCCTCCCCGCACGGGAATTGAACATATAAGTCTCCTGTGCGCGATGGCAAAGCGACTATCTGCTTGACAACAGACATTGGTTACATACACGGTTTGTGTTGTTGTTGTTGTTGTTGTTGTTGCTGTTGTTGTTGTTGTCGTTGTTGTTACTGTTGTTGTTGTTGTTGTTGTTGTTGTTGTCGATGTTGTTGTATTGTTGTTGTTGTATTGTTGTTGTTATCGTTGTTGTTACTGTTCTTGTTGTTGTTGTTGTTGTCGATGTTGTTGTATTGTTGTCGTTGTTGCTGTTGTTTTATACACACATGTATACAATCACCAAAAGATAGAAAACTATTTTATTTAAAACAACATTATTTCATCCTTGTGTAAATTTGGTTAACAGTAGAGCTGGGCGAAGAATCGATTCCGGAACCGGATCCCACGATTAATGCTATGGAAGAAAAGTTCCGACTCCTTTTTACGAAAACCAACGGTTTCCGGTTACTTTAATTATTATTATTTTTTTTTTTTTAATTTATTGTTGAAAAATAAAAGTTGATGCTTCGTAGTGTTCCTAAATCAAGGTTATCCATGATCCTGAATATGTTCGGAGCCAATGAGAAAACCATCGTAAGAAATCACATCCTTAGAAAGTAAGTAATTGGGTTCGGGGTTGATTCCTTCGATTCCTAGCTTTCAATACTCGGGAACCTAACCGCCCATCTCTAGTTAACAGCCACCTCCGTTCTAAAAAATCCGTTGTTCGTTCGTCTGTGGCAACATTACTTGACGTTTCATCTGAACATGCGCCCACTAAGCCACTCAATTCGCTCGCCTCGTTCCTCGAGTAGAAACACAGGATGAAGGGATCAGACAAACACCCGACGACATTCAATGAGATTTACGGTTTTGTTATGTGGTCTCTGATTTGCTTGTTTGTGAGAGCAGGGGAGAGAGAGATTCTTCAATGCAGGACACCGCGTCAGTCCTTCATAAATAATAACAGAAGAAAAAAAAAAACGGAAACAAAATCACGAACGCATTGACAGTTTTTGCACGGCCGAAAATGGGTAGATCAATCCGGCGACGCATTTGCAAACAGCCCCAGAATTCATCAAAGAATATATCGTGACGAGAAAAATATCAACCCCAAAGACTTGGCAAAACACTCAGTTCGTTCCTGCAAACTTAACATTCAACAGGATATGGGCGTTGGTGTGTGTGTGTGGGAGGGGGG